CAAATGCCTTTAACTCATCGCTCTAGAATCAAAGAGCATCAACATCAGCTGCTCTCAAAATGTGACGTCATCTTCTGCCACCTCAGCATCACTACCTGGGACCTGATTTGGTCTCGGGCAGGGTGTCAGTTTGTCTTGTGATTAAAATTTGCAAATTAAGGAACAAGTGTCGGCATCTTGGAAGAAAGGCCTGCTGATCTGCTTCCATAAAGATTACAGCCAAGAAAACCCTATGGAGCACAGTTCTCCTCTGTAACACGTGAGTCAGAATCAACTCAATGGTGACAGGTCTGGTCTGGTTTTTCTCATGCAGTGAAGGGACTGAAGCGCTAAGAAGTACTGGCACACACTCTACAGAGCATGTAGCTATACCTCATTAGCAGGTCCCAGTGAGAATGTGTGCAGACATCAGACAACCCTGGTGGATTATTTTTTATGCTCATGAATCTCATCATTAAACCATGATTCCTGAAGGTGCAGGTTTGATCAGGAGATAGCATCTGACATTTTTCAATAAAGTTCCCACAAAATGGCTCTGTGTCTACCTTGTTTTTAACTTCTGGGGGCTGTGTTTAGTAAACACAGATCATGAAGGCTTTCGCAGCCATCTGATATCTAAGGTTACTTTTAAAAAAGACTAGTATAGATTTCTGCATGATGTTAAGAGGCCTAACAAAAAGTGCATATGTCCTTGCAAAAATAAAGCATGTACTGGTGAAAATTTCCTTGACTAAACAAACATCATGGTTTTCACAGTCCAGAACATGAAGGAAGATTCCTACACAAGCTGGCTTCAGGAGGGCCAACAGCTCAATGCAAGGTTAACAGGGCCGTTACTATGGCAACCTAATAGTGTTACTTCCATCTTTGAGAGTCTGCACATTTAAGTTTCTTGACTTCTGAGGGGCTCTGACGGGGGAAGCGGAAGCATTTTAATAAATATGCGTCTCTTTCACAAAAAAGAAGAGGAAAAAAATCGGTGTTGGCCCTAACATGTACCATGTTGACAAAAATGCCAGATCAAATGGATTTGAGAAGCCAGCCTAATTCAAGACTGACTGCATCCTCCACCAGGCCTCCCAGGGAAAGGAATTCCTTTATGTTCATGGAAGCCCCTTTCCAGAAAAGCCATTCCATCCATAGCTTTGTGGCAAAGTGAACAGGGTGTGAAGAAGGGCTACCCTTAGGAAATCTGCAAGAGCCAGTATTTTCTGTTCCTTCACTCTCACTCCTTTTGTCTTGTTAAAGTCCTACCAGCGGAGCCTTTCACCCTTCTACCCTAAGGAGTGGGAGAGGCTTAACAAATGTAATGGATCCCGTATAAAGTCGACCCAAAGTTCTAATTTACTAGAACTGTAAGACAGTTAAGGTAGACTGTGATGGCTGTTATTGATAAAATGGAATATGAAGTACCTTTTCAAGTAAATGCTATAAAATTGTAGTTGCTTTGTAGTGGCTTATCTAAAAGGCATTATTCAAGCTGTCCCTAAACTTAAGCATGGTATATAATGTTAAAATCTTGGGGAAGAAACTGTTAAGACAAACGTAAAGTAATTGTCACAAAAAATTTTAGAATACCCTAAAAGAACAAAACACAGACCTTGCTATAGTAAATTTATTTCTCACCTTAAATGGTTTTTTTTTTTTTTTTGCTTTTGGGTTTGTTAACTTTCACTCTTTGGAATACTAAGACTTCTTTTTTGTATAATGCAGTTGTCAAAAACTCCAAAAAACTCACCCAGCTTCTTAAAACTTAGAAATACATACATATTCCTTACTATGTAAAATCTTTTATTTATTTTGTAAAAATATGTTTAAATATTAATAAAAGTGCTATAACCAAAAGTAGTGGCCTTTTTTTAAAAATGAAACTTGTAGTAAAAATAAGAATGCATACAAACCATATAGAAAGTCTTGAAGTTTATTTTGGTAGACTTGCTTTTTATAGGCATGGGTTGAAAGTCATTACTTTTCAGAGAAGATCTCTGAAAAGTTAAAAAATGCAAAGGCTTACACTTTATTTCAAATATGCATAGTAATTACCCAGGAATAAGAATTCTCCGTTTTCTGCTGTTGAGAGTGAACAGATCACAGAATGTAAGGGTAAATCGTCTCCCTTTCCCATTCTGAAACTGTTGGGTGAGGCCAGCTTCTCTTCCAGTTCCCAGACTCCAGAGTGGGGGTGGCCATGCCGGCCTCCG